TATAGCTACTTTCATACGTTTTAACCTTGGTAATTTCAAACAGGCTCTTAATTTTAGCTTAATTTCTCTATTTTCTGACCATATACTATGTGAACTTTATTTAAGCTTAGATGTAATTTTTAACTTGTTCTCAGCAGTAGCTGCGCAGGGTCCGTCCATGTAGTTCGGATATAACTTCTGCCTTGTATTTAATTGCTATTAACATTGACCTCTCATTGAAATTTTTGCTTTTATATACTGTGTCTGCTATCATGTATTGTATAGTGTGCAACAGCATTTACAAAAATTTCTAAGTCCGGAGTCGGACAAAGTAAATAGACAACTTTTGTTATTATTATCACCAGAGGTTCCTAAGCCTAAATCTCAACTTTTTAACCTAAGCCCCCTTCTTTAATTATAGTACTAGACACACCAAACTCTAATAAAAGATCCCCCTAGTCTTCCCCTTTCAATAATAAATAACTTTCATTGAATCTCTCCTATTAGTTACCCCTCAAAAAATACTTTTTCATTAGCTTTAATTTCGTTTAATTTCACTTAATTTCTCCTATTTCACAGCCCCTAACCCCCAGATACTAACCAAACCTAAAATGTCTTAATCCTCTCTTCCTCCTCTTTCTTTCTGAAAAACCTATCACTCAATAGTTTCAAAATTACAAGCCCTCCCCTCATTTTTAAATATTTTTTTTTTATTTTATTTTATTATTATTATTTTTTTTTTACCTTTTTATTTTCCGTTTTTTACTTTTTATTTCTCCTATATCTTCTTCCCTCCTAATACACTTAGTCTTGTAATTCTTTCAGTCTCTCTCTCTCAGCTTGGCCTCAGGTTTTCAACAATATTACACTTTAGAACCTCCCTTCAAATTTATTTTTCTCCCTATTTTTAATCACTCCTTATTAGCATTTTATTTCTCTTCCAACTTCCCAACTAATAGTAGTAACTCCACCGTACCACTTCTATTTACCAACATAAACTCCCTCCTTCATTCTACCACCATCCCCTCATATCTATACTAATTAATATTTTTCAATGAGTTTAATTAACCTCTTGTCTCTCATTTTCACTTCTAATTTCCACTAATCAGCACTCGTAACAGTCTCAAAACTACACAACAGAACCCAGCTTTTCTCTTATACCCCTGCGCCCTCCTGACTTACCCTAAAACACATTAACTAATTATTCCGTAGATTCTCCCCCACTTTCCAATCTTAACGTAGGACTTGCGCATCAGTACTCACCACCCTCATTTCCGAGCCTCTGGCGTATCTCCTGGGAATGTCAAGATATATACTGCTGCTTTTCTGTATTGAATTGATTAAATACTGTTGTTATTCTGCATTGAATTACCCATTTACCTATTATCATACTTGTGAAATTACATTCCTGCATACATTCAAAGTGCATTTTCTTATTTACTAACTTTGCTATCCTCACCACTTGATGTCGCATCTTCACTGTCCGATTCACTTACTTTAATGTCCTGTGATATCACAAATTAAGCATATGACTGGTGGTGCCACACTGTGATATTAAGTGCTTACATCACGCATTCTCCCACCTTGCATACCTTAGTGTCCAACATAACAAGGGCCTTTTTAATCAGTGCATTTCAAGAATCAACGTATCCGCTCTGACATGTCGCGTCCCTCGTTTCATTTCAACCGACCGACACAGAGAATACCCAGTCGCAAGGCATTTTAGATCCTGAAGCTTTATTGGCATCGGACTTATCGCACGAAGAACGTGTAGCCGTCCTAGCAGGAAACATTCGGCAGATCTCTGCAACGTTTCGAAGAAATAAATTCCTATTAACCCAAGATTTAAGGGAGCAATTGGAAAAGTCCTTAGACGTCCTACAAGAATTAGCACTTGCAGGACCAGCATACGCACCAAAGCCAGTAACTGAAGACACAGGCACTAATACTTCTACCTTTGTGTGCTGTCAAGCAGTTCACGCCTCCACACACCCTGTGCAACAGCTCAATAGCGAACCAGCTCTGACTTCTTCGCAGTCCAATACCTCCATTCCGACGTTCGCTGAGGTATTGCGTAAATCCAGAATACCTAGCATCATAATCAAGCCCATCACTAAGAAACCCACTGGAGAGCTAAGGAAAGAACTACAAGCAAAAGTTCCCCTTACAAAGATCCCAGTCACAGTGGAAAAGATACAACCTACGCCACAAGGAGGATTAGAGGTATTCTGCCAGACAGCAGAGGAACTTGACCAACTGCAACAGCATATACAAAAAGCCAACATAGATGTCGACGTCAAGAGACGCCAACGACGACGACCGAGGATTGCCATACACAACGTTCCTGAGAGCACCAAGCCGGAGGAGATCATCTCCGAGCTTAGTACAACAACGGGAACATCGTCTAAGCTCTACAAGGCGCTATACCGACTTAAAGAAAGGCGACCAAAGACAGTCAAGTGGATTATCGAATGCGCAGCAGAAGGATTTGCCGCCGCAACCAAAGCCCGACGCATCTTCACTGCATGGCAATCCCATGGCATATCTCTGAATTCATTGGCATCAGGCGATGCTATCGCTGCCAGCAGTTCGGGCACAGTCAAGACGCATGCAGGTCAAAGAAGATCTTCTGCGGCTTCTGCTCCGGCCCGCATCCAACCAGATGTTTGCACAGCTGAGCAGCCCTCATGTATTAACTGTGGGGACTCAAACTGTAGATGGGGCACAAGATACAACTTCTTTCACCCGACTTATGCTACCGAATGCCCAGTCTACCAGCGGGCAGTCGATACAATCCGCAGCAATACGGATTATTAATGACAGACCAGCTTGCACGACCTCGTTATGTGAAAACAGTAAGCAGATGAAAGATCCATCAACGACAAAGGATGCACTTAACATAATGCAGTCGGAACGACAATCAGAAACCAGGTGCCTGCAGATCAACCTACAGCATGCACGTGCAGCAACATCGCAGACAGCTCTCTACGCTGCAGAGGAACGAATAGACCTAATCTTAGGTCAAGAACCATACTGCAGGAATGGTAAAGTAGTCGGCTTCCCCTTACAATGGAGCATTTATCAAAAAGAAGATATCGATCAACCACCAAGAGCATTTATAGCAAACTGCAACCCCAAATGGTCACCATTAATGATAGCAGCCGAAAGGGACTTTGTAGCAATACTATTAGAGGTACTAAATCTAACAGTGGTTCTGGTTTCAATCTACTCTCCACCAACAGAAGAAGCAGACCCCACATTAGAACGCATACAACGATTGATGAGATCGCACCGAATAGCTAACATACTATTTGCTGGAGATTTTTAACGCACACAGCACCACCTGGGGCTATGCAATCACAGCTCCTAAAGGCCGCATACTCGAGGACTTTGTTCACAGCAGTAACCTCGTAATTCACAATCGTTCGGATGCACCGCCTACATTCAATAGACTACACTCGCGCGGCTGGCCAGACCTTACCATCACCACCCAACAGATGGCACCCATACTGCAAGACTGGACAGTCGTCGAAAACCTTAGTATCTCCGACCATAATTATATACGGTTTAATCTAGCAAATAGCACAGCCACCTCTATTCTTAAACGGTACAATCTCCCTGGACGGAAAGTTCGAGCATTCACAGCCATCATTAGAGCCCGTCTGGCACCTTTTGCAACCGCAATAAGACAGGCCAACAGCAAAGAGGCCCTCCAGAACCTCACCCAAGACATCTTAACCGCAATCAAGAAGGCATGTGATGAAAATCTTCCCCCTGCGCACGGCCAAAAGAATCACAACGCTGAATTGGTGGAATGGCACGCTTCGAAGTCAACAACAACGGTGTCGTGCTCTACGGCGACGCCTAAAGCAAGAGCGCAGACATAACCTAGAAACCTTCCACCCTGCTCATTTACCAACGGGAGCGAGCACTCTATAAGCGAATGATTCTGGAAGCTAAGATAAGCAGCTGGAGAAAATTCTGCACAGAAACTACGACCACCTTTGGTATCCACCACAAAATCGCAGCTGGCAAACTCTTCAAAGCCGGCAACTCTCTACCTCCAGCCAACGCCAAATACTAATGACCATCTCACGGAGGCTACGTTATCAGAGATCCTAAGGACAGTCTTCACCAAGGACAACCCGACAGAAGACACAGCCTTTCATACCATCGTCCGAAACCAGCCTCTTGAAATAAATACCATGGATGACCCTGATATTACAACTGCAGAAATACTCCAGGTCCTGCGCCAGCTTCCGCAGCGTAAAGCACCTGGACCAGATGGCATCGACAACCGGATAATAAAATTAATAGTGCGAACAAATGTCAACATCTTCCAAGTGCTATTTAATCAGCTTCTTCGTACCGGGACATTTCCCAGGTGTTTCAAAATCGGTCATGTAGTCTTGTTCCTGAAGAAGAACAAAGATCCTACGAGACCAGAGTCATTCAGACCGATCTGCTTACTCTCTACCCTGGGTAAGGTTTTCGAAAAGATACTCATGACAAGGCTAAGACACCATCTGCACAGAACCCGGTTCCTGAGTCCAATTCAATTTGGCTTTAGCCCAGGTAAATCAACACTACATGCTCTGATGGAAGTCAAAAACCAAATACTGGCTAACAGATCCTCTGGCTACCACACAGCGTTCATTTCAATAGATCTCAAGAGCGCTTTTGATACGCTGTGGTGGCCAGCAATATTACAAGCTCTACGAACCGCTAACTGCCCAAGCAATATTTACAACACCTATCGTAAACTATTTAGCGGACCGCCGGCTGATCCTTCCACATAACAGCGGAATTATAGAACAAGATCAGACACAGGGATGCCCGCAAGGCTCATGCGCCGGACCGTTCCTATGGAACATAACCTTCAACGGAGTCCTCAACAACCCATGGCCTGACCATACAAGGATCATCGCTTACGCAGACGATACAGCCCTAATCGTCAAAGGAAGAACCAGGGAAAAGCTCCAGGCCAATGCAATCGAATCCTGCTCCCTTTTTCAGGAAAGATGCACAGCCCTAAAACTTCAAATAGCAGAGGCCAAATCTCAAATTTTGCTCGTCCCAAAAAAAGGCGGATCGCTGGCAAGACAGCCAAGGATAACTTTAAACGGACACATCGCCTCCGCATCACTCCAGTGCTGAAATATCTAGGAATTATCTTCGACACCAAATTAAACTGGATCCCCCATGTGCTGGAGCTGAAAAAGAAAACTGCAAGATTAGCCCAACAACTAAGATATATGCAGGGCTATAAATGGGGTCTCAATCCCTATATCCAGAAAACGCTTTACACAACAGTAGCCGAGAAAGTTATAACTTATGGAGCGGCTGTTTGGTCAGCGCCTATGCAGGGCCGCAAAGTCAAGCATCTACTTAGCATACAAAGGCCTTTTCTCCTGAATGTCACCAAGGCCTTCCGAACATCCCCTACAAATGCGTTATGCGTACTAGCGGGATTGCTACCGCTCCATCTGAGCGTAGAAAAGGAAGCAGCCTATCAGGAGATCACTCAACTTGGCAATCTAACCACCTTCAGAGACGAGCTATACTCACCAGCCGAATTTGAACAAAAGATGATACGCCTTGCCGATCACCCCTCAACGCAGGGACAGGGAGTAAAGATTAGCATCAAGCAAAACACCAATGTAAAGGAAGATGATCTAGTCTATTATACCGACGGGTCAAAACTAGATGAAAATACAGGTTGCGCCTATGTTGCCCTCAGACAGCAAAGCACAATAGCACAATGGAAAGGTCACCTGGACACAAACAACAGCGTGTTCCAGAGTGAAGTAATGGCCATCAAACAAGCTCTACTTACGATAATCCAACAGCGGCAAAGAGACAGCTTCATTATAACAGACAGCCTCTCCTCCCTGTATGCAATTGTGAACCCTGTGCACAGCTCCCCACTGATTGCAGAGATTCAGACACATCTGCGCGACCACAGCCATCTTAACACCAGGATAGAATGGACCAAGGCCCACGTTGGCAACAGGGGGAACGAGCAAGCAGATCAACTTGCAAAGGAGGCTGCAAGAAACATCAATGCGGAACATATCACCATCCCTTGGCCAGTTTCATATTTAAAGAAAAGTCTGAAACACAAGGCAAAATCCGTTTGGCAGGAGGAATGGGATACTGGTGAGACAGGACGCCGTGCTCACTATCACGTCCCTACGGTAGACTCAGACCGTCTCATAGTGCATGCACAAATGGTCCGATACATTACCGGACACGGTCCTTTTCCCGTGTACTATGAAAAACACGGGATCGCACAAAATGCACATTGTATATGTGGTGAGATGGGCACCCCAGATCATTATGTTACCCAATGCCCGCTTACAGCAGATCTGCACCTGCCAATTCCAACTACAAACACGCAGGCTTTCTGCAGATTTATGGTTAAAGACAAACGTACTGTCCGAAAAATCAACAAGATAGTTGATAAACTCATGAACGTGGGCACAGACTTATGTCTAATCTAAAGCAAACGTGCTAAGATATGATATGCAAATGCAAGGTGGAGTGTGCAACGCCATTTACCATGTGCCATGTATCGTGTAAATTAAAAACCATGTCATACAAACTCCATGTATATATAACTATCGGCATGATGTGCTACGAGCAGCTCACAAACTAAAACTGTAAATATTGCAAATGAACTGAGTCAGTAATGAACATTACGCACTGAGGTCAGTTATCGTGCATATAACTATGCACTTTGCAGCGCGTATAACTGCCTTCAACAGAACAGCAACGTGTCAATACTGGCAAATTACGCAATGCAGGACAGTTCATGTACTACGCGTACTAATACCATCACATCCATATACCGCGACCTATTCTAAGGTGCGAAATGTAAGTAATGGAGAAATGCACAGATGCAAAATTCTGCAGTAATATGCTAACTGTAAATGCAAAAGTAATCTATGTATATTAAGGAATGCTAATGTAATCCATTATATGTTTTTGTACATGGTAAATATATTAATGTAATGATTAAGCAATGTATTATAAGTGTAAAGAACTTCGGTACAGAATAACATTGTAAAGCTTACCGGTTTAATTATAAGGAGTAATGTAATATGCACTTTCGTATAAGTTAGTCAGTATAATTTATCCTGCATAATGTTTCACCAGTGCATAACAAATTTCCCTGCGTGTAACTTAACACGCATCATGTATATACCCCCTTCTGTGCATAATGTTTTTCCTACGTATCACTAATTTCCCTGTGTATAATTTAATGCGCATCTTGTGTTGAATGCGCAGCCAGTGCAAAACAACATTATTACAATCTGATGATAATGTATCTGTTACCAGTATACGGTATATTAGGAAAGAAAATTAATGTAATAAGTATTTGGAAGTTAATGTAATGTTAAGGTAAGGCGTTATTTTTGTCTTGTCAATCTGATGTGTAGAATATAATGTAATGTGTAAACCATGTATCGCAATATAAAATATGTAGTGTAGTATGTACTGATAAACTATCCTGTTAATTTGATATGTAGTACATTATCTAATACGTAAGCCAAGTATCGTAATATGTAATGTAATCGTAATAGTGTCATATGTATCATAATATATAATGTAATATGTAATACAATCGTATTAGTGTCATATGTATCATAATAAATAATGTAATATGTAATGTAATCGTAATAGTGTCATATGTATCATAATATATAATGTAATATGTAATGTAATCGTAATAGTGTCATATGTATCATAATATATAATGTAATATGTTATGTAATCGTAATATTGTCATATGTATCATAATATATAATGTAATATGTAATGTAGTCGTAATAGTGTTATATGTATCATAATATATAATGTAATACGTAATGTAATCGTAATAGTGCCATATGTATCATATTATGCAATGTAATATGTAATGTAGTATGTACTGATTAATGAGCAACATGACACAGAATGCAAAGCCCAACTGAAGAAATGTGAATGCAAACTTTATAATAGTATTATGCATAACGATGTAGGCAGTGTATCGAGAAGCCTATCATGTGAATAAGTTATCCTGTATAATGCAATACCTGTGTATAACTAATTTCATGTGAATAATCTAACCCGTATCGTGCTTATAACCCCCTATTGCGTATAATGTTCCTATGTATCATTAATTTCCCCGTATATAATGTAATGTGTACCCAGTGTATAATGATAATATAATGCGTATCCTGTGTCTAATGCGAATCCTGTGCAAAATAACCCTTTTATAATGTACCAATATAGGGTTTATTAGAAAAGAATTTTAATGTAATAAGTTGAGGTGAAGTTAATGTAATGTTAGGATAAGGTATTAATTTGATATGTAGTATATAATGCAATGTGTAAATCATGTATCGTAATATATAATGTAATATGAAATGTAAGATAAAGGTGGACGTGGTGCTGTACTGATTAACCCAAATGGTAAAGGGACAGTGCCCACGTCCTCCGTCGCTTATCGCTTATCATACATTTTAAACATTATAATTTCCTATACACTCAGAATTTTACTTTATTTCTTAAATCTTATCTTCATAATACCACATTTACTTTACATAATACATCTTAATTACATGACTCATTTTTATTACTAAATTCAATTTACCCAGAAGTTTTTTCATACTTGTTAGCCAATACTCTTAACTTATTTGTTATATTTTACGAGTATAATTCCTAAATCATGCGTTTTTGTGTATTATATTATTCAATGTTTAGATGTAAATTTTAACTTCTTTTCTATTTTTTAGCTTTTTAGTTTCCAACATACTCTGAATTTTAACTAATTTGCTATATTTTTACACTATATACATGACTTTCATTTAATTTTTAACTACTTTCATACGTTTTAACCTTCGTAATTTCAAATGTATTCTTAATTTTAGCTTAATTCCTCTATTTTCTCACCATATATATGAGCTTTATTTAATTTTAGATATTATGTCTAACCTGTTTCGTACATTTTGACCCTTCATAATTTTAAAAGTACTAAAATTTCGAACTTGTTTCACACACTTTAACCTTTGCAATTTGCAATATGCTCCTAATTTTAACTTAATTCCTATATTTTCTGATCATATACAGGGTCTTTATTGAATTCAAATATAATTTTGAACTTATTTCATATATTTTAACCTTCGCAATTTTTAGCGTAATCTAAGGTTTATTTTATTTTCACATTATTTGCATGAATTGTATTACATTTTAGATGTAATTTTCTAACATTTTTAGCATTTTTGTTTCCCTTGTAACCTTAATTTTTACGCTTTTATCATATTTTCTGTTTATAATACATATTTATTTTACCATTTCAACTAAATTTACCTGTTTAAACTTCTTAAATATACGTAGAACCGAGATATTTTTAATCAAGCATTTTGTTTTATAACTTTTAACAACTATTCATATCCAATTCGTCGAATAACCCTTATTTAGTCTATATTTTATAGTACTATTTTAATTTGCCAGTTCTACAATTTATCTTTTTATAGTAGTCTTACCATAACTGATTCTACTATTTTACTTTATTTAATTTCATTAGCATTTCTAACCTTTATTATGTTTTGCATATTCAGATATTTTCATATACTTTTTAACACTCTTCGTATTTGAACGCATGATTTTAAACTCTTCGATACAACCATTGTTTAGCTTTGAGTCCCAATTATCTTTAAGCTAGCTTGATAGATACCGAATTTTTGCAATTAAGTGCCAAATTTCATGTGTAATTTTAGGATATATTCACTATTTCATATCCTTATCCAGAAGTCTTTCCCAATATTTTTAACATGGAATACCTTTTAGTTCAATATATTTTGCTAATTGCATACAAGCATGTCGTTATTTTTTTAATTTTATGTGCCCTGAATATAGTATTTTTTTTTTTTCTTACTACCCTTTCCTAGGCTAGATAATTAAGAATATTTCTTCTTTCATAGGGTATGTAAAATGTATGTACGAAATGTGGGTAAATGTATTCAGTTTTCCCATTTTCACACTCTTGAGAAAAAAAGCTCTTATTTGTATGACATATCTAGTGAAATAACTAAACACTAACACTTTTAGGATTAGTCTTTTACTTTGGAAAACTTACTAAATGCTATTAAATTCACAAGTAGATCACATAAAATTCATTCAAAGATTTATGATTGATATTTTTAGTAATGCTTCAGACTGCATAAAAGTCAGCATTCACTATCTTAATACATGTATCATCAGTTATTTACATTAACCAATGTAAGATCATCATTCGATACATGCATATATTTTACTTTACTTTTTGATTTTCAAGTTTACTACTCGTGAATAATTAACTATTCTAAGAAAAGGCTCCGTATCTGACCATATTTAGTTCACATTTAATAACTTTTTCCAGAATCCATCCTGAGCCATTTTCAATAAACTCATCATAGCTCTTTTTAATTTTTTCGAAAGCTTCAGTAATTACTCTTCCTATATCATGCGCTTTAAGTAACTGCAAACAGTTGCTACGGAAATGTGGGTAAATGTATTCAGTTTCCCCATTTTCACACTCACGACTCATTTTAACAGTAACAACTGCATATCATTTCAGACACCGATATGTTGCTATATCGTCACTCAATTTTTCTACAAGTTGCGATTTGATATACTCGAGAAACACATCTAGGACAGACATGATCATTCTCTGTATTATAGAAAATCGACTCAGTAACGAACATATCCTTGAGACTTGTGATTTTAGCGCCTGTACATGCATTGACAGGGTCAGCATTTCTTCGTTTTTCTAAAGTTCGCGTTAGGCCATGCTCCACTCGAACATGATGTAAAAGATCGCTTTTTCTTTTAAAAGCTCGTGAACATTGAGTGCAATTTCTACTCTTCTTAAATTCCTTTGGCTTGTAAAACTTCCGAACATTCAATACAATTTTTAAGATGGGAAACTTCATGCTGTTTTAAATTATCAAGTTCACCAAATACCTTTGAGCAGGATTTACACTTAAAAGTAACTTTATAAATTTACATGTCTCCTAAAATCCCTCTGACTTGTAAAAACTTCCAAAAATTCAGTACATCTTTTAAGATGGGAAGCTTCATGACGTTCCAAATGACCAAGTTCACTAAATTTCTTAGGACATTTACTACATTTGTAGCTCCTTTCATGAGATTTCAGGTGTCTATTCAAGTCACCTGTTTTCGGGAACACTTGTAAACATATTGCAAAAGTAAAATTTCGAAGATGAATCGTTTTATAGCTTTAAACACTGTTCAAAATAAAATAGCACTCCAAAATGTTTATACAAAATCACATTACCCCATATAGTTTTCAAAACTTTAGCCAAATTCCTGTTAGTAGGTTTATCAACAACAGATTGTTTTAACCAATGAGGAAAAGTATTTTAATGTTTTCCTAAATTTGCCACATTTACCGAGTAATCTAATTTATAAAATAAGAAACATTGAAAATAATAACAGTAGAAACATCACTATTTCA